CAGTAAATGTGACTTTGCAGCTTTAACCTATGCATCTAAACTGTTAAATGCTGGTGTTTGATGTTTAAAGGTATGACCTAATGAGACAGTGCTGGAGAGAGAAACCGTACGAAAGACCGTCTTTTGCTCAGATACTGGTATCACTGAACAGGATGCTAGAAGAAAGGAAGGTAAGAATGAATTCCTAGGAATAATTAAGTCATGGATGTTCTAGTATAGTTTAGGATTCTTGAGGTAATGCACCGTGCATCACATTCTTTCTGTTTATTTTCTTCCCAGACCTACGTGAATACCACCCTATACGAGAAGTTTACTTACGCAGGAATTGATTGCTCCGCTGAAGAAGCTGCTTAAGTGAGGACAAGTCTTTGTTAATTGATGATGTTTTGAAGAAAACCCAAACTCAATCTACTGGAGCCCAAAATGTGATGTGCTGTGTAGAACTGTGTATATCTCCAACTGTATATAATACAGTAATACTGTTTTACTACAGATATGTATGTGTATATCACACAGTAACCTCTGCCTCCACCGGCTGTAGGAGAGTATATAGTGTTCAGAGTAGGAATAGACTGAAGTCCTGAAATCTGTTGTTCCATATGCAGGGTTGTTTTTTTTCCTAGTCATGTAGATATAGTGTATACATATGTACTGTAATGCATTAGGCATTGCCATCTTAGATTTTTTTTATACTTTCCAAGGGCTGCTGATAGCAAAGTGGGGATCTTACAGCCATATTTCATTGCAATTCAAACAAAAAATGCTAAGCTCAATTCAACAGCTGGAGTTGCAAGCAGACATCAATCCAGTATGTTTACCAAGGATAACTATTGAAACTCCTACCTGAATGTGAAAATGAGCTAGTAGAAATAATCTGTTTGAAAATACTCACTTGTAAGATACAAGGCATTCTATTGCTTTCTTATGGTCCAGTTTAACAGTCAGTGTTTGCCTGTGTGCAAAATATGCATATATATTGAAGGGTTTAACATTATTGGAGGCATCTATACAATAATTATCACGAAGCATAGGATTGAGAACATACTACGTATTGTAAAATACATTTTTACAGTTAACCTGGATAGACATGAGGCTTGTTCAACTTGTATATTTCATTCAATAATTTCACTTCGTAATTATAAATTACTACCTATCGTAAACAAGGAGGTCTTACTTGCTTTTGCTTATTTTATCCCTAATGTGGTATGACCTCTTAAAAATCCTGCACTGAAATGCTTCAAAACAATATTTGTCCTGCCAGAAAGATCTTCTAGTCCTTGGGTTAGATAAACAGAGGCAGGATTGGCCTGAACTTCTGGCATCAATTCAGCCATGAGGGATCCTGTGGACTTACCCTGCTGAAACTTCACAGATCAGCTCACGTTTTGCACATGTTCCCCTCATCCCCGCACCACTCACCAGCTCAAAACTGACCATCAGACCACAGTGATTTTCTTGCTGGGTGGATTACGTGTCTCCCCAAGCAAGACTTGTGGAAAATGCTACAGAGAAGAAAAGAAAAAGGCTTCCCCTTCAGCTGCTTAGTTTGTAGGCATGTTATTTGGTTGGCTACAAGGCAGGGATGTTGCAGTATAGTTACATCACTGGCATACACACCAGGCCAGCTCAAATAGAAGTATGAAGAGCCTTATTAAAAGGGAGTAAGTCAACAAGTAAGGGTGCTGAGATCACTTGTGCGGTCTTGAAATTGGCAGAATTTGCACTCTAAGTACAGCTGCTACAACCTGAGTTTAAAAAGAGAGCTCAGATTCACTGGACTAAGGAATAACTACAAAATGGGGGAAAAAAAATCCACTACATTTTTCATAAAATGTACTACTTGGCTGGGCAATTTTGAAGCATGGGCATTGGATTTTGCAGTCTAATCGACTTCCTACAGGACAGTGAGGTGAACAGGAATGGATCTCAACTGGTGTTCTCCAGGCTGCCAGGCAAAGCTGGCTTAACGCTTCTGCTGGAAATGCTCCACTTTATAGAATTTTTGACAGGTCCAAACCAGCTCATTGTCTCACAGACCTGTAACAAACAGACACAACTAACTATTCTGCTACATGATGTGAACTCCTTCTTCTGTGGCAAACTCCTGCTTGGACCAATAGGCCACATAAGGAAAAAAATCAGTCATTCATCAGCCCAATAGGTCTTAATACTGTCTGCATTTTAAATGCTCAAGTTTCACTGCAAATGTAGCTGAAGGCCATTCAAGTGTCCTTATAATCATTCTTCATGCCTTCAATTAACATTGTGGCATGCAATAACTCTATAATCTGCTGTAATGAGGTGTGGTTTTTTTAATTGCCATTTTCAAAAACACATAAAAGAAAACAATAACTTCAATATACAGAATGAGATATCTCTATTTAGTCCAGACATCCCAGAACTACAGCAACTAAAATTGTTCACTAGTTCTGTCAGAATCTCAGATGGACTAATTGCTTCTGTACTTGAAATGTGCACTGGTCATCCCAGGTTCAATAGATAGTTTTATTTCTGACATCTATGTGCAGGCTTAGAGTAGGATCAGGTAATCTACATGTTGTTTTTTAACATCACAGCACTAGTTTTCACATATTCTCTCATGTACAATTATCAAGCTCATGCTCCATTCAAGTTTTCTGTTGCAAAAGAGAAGTGTTTCAGAGAAGTGGAGTTGACCACACTTTGAGAATTATGTGACACCGAATGGCAAGTAACTCCTTACAATCAAGTGTTACCTATAGTTTAAAAAGAAATGATCAGACACCTGATCAGAGAAAGCGGAGCCTTTAAGAAAAAAATTACAGAAGCAAAGACTCCACACAACTTCTCCCCCAAGCCTTCTCCCTCACCATCCTCAGCTTCCATTTAGTGCAACAGCTCTGGTCGTTCCACAATCTGAGTGCAAACAGAACTAAAAGTCCTTAATATGTCCAAGCAAAACTCAGGAGCTACAGAACACAATGCAGATGACAGGAAAGCTAAGAAATTATTTGAGAACAGACATCACTGGATAATGTAATGCCAGGTTCACTAGATACAGCTGTGAGCTGTAACAAAAACTCCAAACAAGAACCTCTAATCTCATTAGACTGCCTGAGAAGTAAGATATAGCTACCCTCGGGGATGTCTGAGTTCAGCTATTTCACACAATAGCTGCACTTCTCCCACTTCTCAGTAACCCAAATGGAAGCACAAATCTGGTCTTAAATGATGGGGATTTTTAATTTTTAACCCATGTGTGGACAGATAGCTCCTGATACAATTTTGAAGTCAAACACAGCCTCTCTCCACTACCCAAAAATAATGGTCAGGATTTTGCTGAGATTAAAATATAAAATTTTGTCTATTACATATCTCTCATCAAAAGCTGAAGCATGCAGTAGAGCACCGGAAGTAGCCTGTTCTCAGCAGTATCCAGTGACAGTATGAGAAGCAGTGGGCATAACTCAAAATCTAAGAAATTCTACTGGGGGGTGGGGTCAAACCATGGAAGAGATTGCCTAGAGGGGTTGTAGAGTCTCCAGACTGAGAGATACTCACAGGAACGCTAGCTGGAACAAACCAGACCAAGCCTGTAAGTGAAAATCCTCAAATCAGGCAGATGTAGTGTAATGTTTCCTTATAACACTTCAGAACTCTCTCACCTGTTCACTTAGTAGCACTACATACGACAGAAATTATATTCCCACAGTATAAAGCAATAGAATCGTTTGGGTTGGAAAAGGTATTTAAGACCACTGAGTCCAACTGGATGTGGTAATGTGTAGTCTACCACTAAGCCGTGTCCCAAAGCACCACATCTACATGTCTTTTAAATAGCTCCAGTGATGGTGACTGCACTGCTTTCCCAGGCTACAGCCTCTTTTCAGGCAGTTGCAGAGTGATGTCTCCCCTCAGCCTCCTTTCCTCCAGGCTGAACAACCCAAGTCCCCTCAGGTGCCCCTCAGCAGACTTGCTCTCTAGACCCATCACCAGCTTAACTGCTCTTCTTTGGACATGCTCCAGCACTACAGTTTCTTACTTTTAACAAGGGGCCCCAAATTGAATGTAGTAGGAGCTGTAACAGTAGCAATCCCCTGTGGGGTCCCATGAGACCGCTCCAGTCCTTCACATCTCCAAAACATGAGCTAAGGTGCTGGGTCAGGTTTTGCAGTAGCTAAGTCTGTATCATAAACATATGTGGAAAAGAGAAAAGTGTGCTCATGGCAGCTACCAGCAGACAGATGATAAAGATTTGACTCTGAATTAAGTCACTATTCCAATGATTAACTGCACTTATATACACACATCACCTTTCAGTTTTGATCAAATGTTATTAGAGTCACAGAATGGTTTGGGTTGGAAAGGATCTTAAAGATCATCTAGTTCCAACCCTCTGCCATGTGCAGGGACACCTCCCACTAGATGAGGTTGCTCAATGCTCCATCCAGCCTGGCCTTGAACTCTTCCAGCGATGGAGCATCCACAGCTTCTCTGGGCAACCCATTCCATGGCTTCACCAGCATCAGAAGACTGCTTTTATTGCATTAAACTAAGTTTGTTTTCTCTCTTTTCTCTGAAAGCAGATGAGGAGGTAGAGAGAAACATTAAGGGAAAAAGAAAATCTTAAACTTTAATCACACAAAAGAAAAATTTTATTTCAGAGGCTGACAAAGGTGAAATCAAAAGTTATATCCAGAATTTTACAGTGTTTTCACTTACTGCAAATGATAGTTTTCAGATATATGATTTCAGAAATTAAACAAACCAGGAGAAATGTACAGGCTTGCTATTTAACACAAAAATTTTCTCTGTGCCTCTTAATTGTATGCATTTTCTGAATTTGTATTTTCTCCTTCCTCTATATCTAAAGCTTCAGAAGCAGATACCGTCAACATTCTCCCATTAGGTTTTCTCACATTCACACCAGAAAAATAATTGGCACTGAAGTATTACAGAGTAATGACCAAACTGAGGTTGATTTTCCCATCCATCTTGTTCCTCCAGAGCCATAGTAATAACTATTTCCTAATTCTGTTGTCCTCCTTGACCTTCCAAAGGATTAGCTCCATACAAGCAGTTGCATCTTCCCTGGAATTATGACCAGCAACTAGATGAGAACAGAACAAAAAATAAGTTATATGTGTTAGATTATGTATTTTGTTATGAAAGAATGGTAACTTTATTTACTAAGCTGAACAATTTTTAAGAATACTAAGACAATACTTGGTATTCAGACAGTTTTTGACGTAACTTCTTGCTAACAGGATTCGCAGTAATACCCACATGCTTCTGACAGTGCAGTATTGCCTGGCAATATTCAGTTTCCCACCGCATCCTCCAGCTTCTGTATCCAGTGGAGCCTGGGTTAGTAGCCTAGAGTTTCCCACATAATTGCCTTTGGAAAATGAGCCTCTCCATGTCATGTACATTAAGAATCAGAAGTTGAAAGAGTAACAGATGACAAGTTGATTTTGAAACTAGAAGGTAAATTTCTACCTCAGTTAAGTAAGGAAAAGTTTCTTGTCCTGATCTACTGAAATGCTGCACAAAATCTGGACAGAATGGAGTTAAAGATTTACCTACAGCTATAAACTTTAATTATGTGTTTAGTCAAATCTCAAAAAGTCACTAACTTACAAGTTTATACATGTTATACAATTCACATAACTGTAAAAAGCACAGTAGGAAGGTTTTAATGCACTCTGGCTAGAAAACAGTGGTAGTCATCCAAACAAGAAAAGCATACAACCCTCTCATTAGCCAGCACTCAACGTAGGCATCAGAATATCCTTCTGAACACTAAGTCAATCCAAGAAAATGCTGGCTGCCAGGATAACAGTAGTTAACTACAGAAAAGTTCTGAGCACTCCCTACTGAAAGCCAAAGCTGCATGTTTGAGGTCTCCTAGCAACTTTAGGAGAGGTGAAGAATAGATCTAAAATACTCAGCCACCATCTTCATAAAAAAAAACTTCAATAAAGTGTTAAGACAGTCACATTGCCTAATTTCAACGTGTGTACCTCATTTGTATTCCAACCCATGAAGTAGTGCTCTGCCTTGTTATTCCACCCTTCAGCTGCTGCTAATTTTAACTGCTCAAGAAAAGACAACTTGTATGAGACATGTTTTTCAAGTGGTCTGAAAAGGCTCAATGATTGAGTTACTAAACCTTCTAGCTCTTTTATATATTCTTATTTTTTTTCAGTCAAACCAGAAATACCATAGAATCATATAGTGGTTTGAGTTGGAAACGACCTTGAAGATTATTTATTTGCACCCCCCTTCCATGGTCAGGGACAACTTCCACCCAACCAGCTTGCTCTAAGTCCCATCCAGCCTGGTCTTGAACACTCCCTAATCAAAGAGCCCCTACCCAGCTTCCCTGTAGGCCCCTTTAAGTATTGAAAGGTCGCTATAGGATCTGTCTGGAGTCTTCTTCAGGCTGAACAACCCCAATTCCCTCAGCCTGTTCTTGTAGGGAAGGTGCACCAGTCCCCTCATCATCTTTTCAGACAGCTCCTGCCCATATAACTGGTGCCCACATGAAAAACGGACCCTATGAGGTGTGCTGTTCTCTGTGACGTCCCTGACATGAGCCCTGGCGAGATGCACACCTCACAGAATCACAGAATGTTCGGGGTTGGAAGGGGCACACCTCTCAGAAGAGTCACCTCATCCATTGCCTTTTCTTAGTGGTGCTCGCTGCAATCAAGGGAGGAGATCAGGCTGCCTTGCTCAGCCCCAGTGTCTCTCCTGATGTGACAGGCAATGTACATGTATATGGTATACTGTAAATCAACTTAGCATTGCAGCTCTTGTGCATTGGACACCAAGAATCCTTTAAAATGCTCTCCTAGTCAAAATCTGAAAGCTCTCCTAGTCAACTAAATTCAGAGCAAGTTAAGTGACCACAGACCTACTGCTTTCTGATAGCAAAGGGTGTTTGTTTCATTCTACAAATCCTTAGGTTTACAAAAAAAAAAAAAAAAGGCATTGAGACTTGAAGTTTAACCTTTCTCTAACAAAACACAAACTAGCACAAAGCAACAGCACAAACCAATATAGACATAGGAAGTGGAGGTCATGCACTGGGATTTATTTTCATTTTTTTCTAGAAACGGCAGCCAATCTAGATCTATACATTAAGCTTGGAGTTTAGATCAGTAGTGATCAAAGAATATTTAAATCCAAACTTAATCAGAAGAGTCTGCTAAAGGCAGAGTTTGGGCTATTTAAGAATAGTTATTTCTGTAGAAATAAATTTTGACATTCCTCTTACGCCCACCAAAGTGCTGTGCATCAGACTGTCATAGCAAAGTCAGAGGTTATAAGCTTTGAGATGCTGTATCCAGGTACTCCAGTACCAAAGGCTATCAGCTTTTGCTCAGATTGATCATTTATGTATTCCCTGGGAAATGAAGAGGTTAGCAGAATAAAATATTTGTTGTCCACAAAGTATCACTGATAAAAGTAAATATGAATCTGCCAGTTTATTAGAATTAATTAAATTTGTGCTAAGACCATATTAACAACAATTATCTAGAATGGCATTGCAAATTTAATATATACTTGTCAAATGCAATGTTTCAAAAGTATTACATACACAGTGTAGAACAGATTTGTTGTTTTGTCTTGACAGTCAGCCAAGAAATTTACTATAATTTCACTACTGAAAACTCTGGCTGAAGGGCACCTGTATCTGCTTGCATAAGCAAGTGAATCTTGAAATAGATGTCAGCATCATTACACTGCCTTCAGAATTTTAAGCACGTTGCTTCAGGCAACACTTAGAATGAACATTTTGACAAACAAACTGTACTGAGGGGGAATCAGTGAGAGGCTCTGTGGTGCTGAGTTGCCATCCAGGGTTAAACCACACCACCAGTCATCTTACCCTTCTGGTGCATACTCTGATTTTACTATAATATTGAATTAAAGGTATCCAAGACAAGCTTTAACTGACAGTAAGTGTACTACCATCCTTACAGTTTTCTGGGTTATCCCTGCCACCTGTTTCATGATGTAATATACTGATGGCTTAATAAGAACCTGTGCTCTTACCATCATCTTGACGAATTTTCCTGAGGTATTCAGCCATCAGACTTCTCATCGTTCTTCTGTGAGGCAAACCTAGCCGATGAGGAAACACTACTGATGTGTCCACTACTTTGTCATGAATTAGCTGGAAAAAAGCAGAGGCCTTGTTAATGATTACCCATCCAGTTAGTCTTCCATCATCTTTATTTATTAAAGGAATCCAGGATCTAACACACTTCCTTTCCCTGTCACATGCCCTAACTTATCCTTGAGCTCCAAATACTGCATCATCTGTCCCACGTCCCTCTGTGCACTACGGAATAGCAAACTGTGGGGCAAGAACTGTAGAAAAACTGTGCTTTGTATTGATTTCTGCGTAGTGCATTGAGATTTAGTCACTAGTTGTAAATATATACAGTGAAGGTGATGAATAGTTGAGGTTGGAAGGGATCTCTGAAATTCATGTTATCCAAATCCCTTGCTTAAGCAGGGCACTGAGAGCCACTTGTCCAGAAACACATCTAGATGGCTTCTGAGTACCCCGAAGCAGAAGACTCCACAACCATTCTGGACAACCTGTGACAGACAGTGCTTGGTGACCCTCAAAGTGAAAAAGTGTTTACTGCTGTTCAAAGGGAACCTCCTGTATTTCAGTCTGTGTCCATTGCCTCCTGTCCTGGCACTGAGCACCACTGAAAAAAGCCTGGCTCAGTCTTCTTCACATCCTCCCTTCAAGTATTTACATATGTTGTTATGTATATATTATATTAAGAGTCTTCCTGAACAGAAGGTTATGTTTCTTACAAAATACTGTTGCCTTTGATAATTAATAGCATGATCCATGCATTTCTGGTACCCAAGTTAATTACCTGGTAGGCAGCATAGCTGTTCCCAACGATTAAGAGCAATACCCTAGTATTACTTGAATTGTCACTGCCTTTTGGATTCACTTGTATGAGTTCAGCAACACCAGGAAACATACAATTCTAGGTTTCTGTGAACCCAGAAATAAAGAAAATATAATTCATTTGTGACATACGTTTGCATAATTAGAAGCACAAAATAGCAGAGCAGGAAGCCCAAATATCTGAATATTTACCATACTGTGTTTGTACACACATCTCTTTCTTCTCTGAATGTAGTATTATATTCATCTATCATGTATGATACAAAGAATGAAATGTACTTAATAACTGTTGATCTGTCAAAACACAAGACTTTTTTTCCTATTTGGGATTAATTAGAACATAGTAAAGACTAGCAGTCGCTCTTAAAATTGGCTTCAAACAGGTTATTTTTACCTTAAGCACAAATAAGCCCTTTTCTAAGCAGTGTCCAATTAAAACTGTATCTGCACTGAACAAGTTTAGCAGTATTGCCTGTACAGCCCGAAGAGATATTGTGGCTTTCTTCAGATCATCCTCTTTTACTCCAGAGAGTCTAAAACCAGATTTAGAACAGCTTCATTAGTAGACACATTAAAAAATGTCTGAAAGAACTAGGTTTACAGTATCTAAAGTTGACAGCATCTGAAGTTAGCACTACCCAGGCTTTGAAATCACACACACTGTGTGATTTCTTTTCTTTAAGATGGTATCTATAGATAAAACTTGTGTTTGCTGCTATTCCCTTAGGGTATTTAGCAAGATCAGGGAGGTTTAACTTAATTTTTTTTTGAAGGAAGAGAGAAGTTTTCAAATGGGGCGGGGGAGGGAATCAAAGTAGGCAAAGAGAAAAATCCTTTTTAAATGAACCTCTAAGAACCAAAGCCTCATTCCTGATTGGGGGTCATTTATTTATGCTACTAGAAACAGATATTCGAGAGGCATGTTTATTCTTACATACTTACCTGATAAGTTAAGCACAATCCTGAGATATTAAAGACTAATTAACATACCTTGCATCATAGTCTACAACTTTACCATCTGGCTTAACAAGTGTGTCATAAACAATCTGTAGCTTTGCATCAACCACTGTCACTCTAGTTAGTTCCAAGCCATGAGTTGTATAACACTAAAGAAAAAAGAAAATTTAAGAAGCATTTACACAGCAATTATGTTTTCTTATATTATACAATATGTACAGAAAGAACTAGTTAACAACTCAGACCCAAACAGTTTTGCTCCCTGTATATTCAACACTAAATGTCTAGTCAAGTAGAGTGACTAGGCAGTTCTGCAGATCTTAGAGATGAGTGCCAAACTACTACTGCAAGGAAATTTAGTAGCAATACGTAAGGAGCAATACGTAAGGAGCAATACGTAAGGAGCAATACGTAAGGAGCAATACGTAAGGAGCAATACGTAAGGAGCAATACATTTTTCTATTAACCAAACTTTTTAGGTTGCTCATACCATCTCACAGTCCAGAGCATATACACCATAGTTTCCATCAAGAGGCGGTGATTTAGTGAGTGTCTTCATAAAGCCTTCCAACTTCTCCCCTCTCCCATCATGAACGTGAAGCTGCAAAGTTTCCATTAGTATTTAAGTGCAAGTTTGCTAGATGTATCTTATCCAACTTGCCAAACAAGCTGGTTCTCTAACAGGCTCAGGAACACATAAAATACTTGCCAATATTTGCGTCATAATTTACTAAAAGGTAGTAAGTAAACTTAACAGGTTTATACCAAACTATTCATAGAAAGCTACGACTCAAAGTCAAGACAGAAAACTGAGATACTGTGTTAAATAAACCTCCTGAGAACATTATTCCTACCTTTGCAACCTGACATCCAGGAGACCCAACTAATCTCTGACAGCAGCTGTAGTGTTTTTCCATGTCAGCTGGAACTGTCAAAAAGTTGAACACTGAGCACTTGTTGCAGTAACTAGCAATAGCAAAACCAAATCATTACCCTCATTCCTTCTCTTAAGTTTCTTTCCCATTTTCTCCTGAGACTGCACTACGAAAAGAAGTAAGTCCCACCCATAGGTCTCACCTACGCCAGGGTGAGAAATTGTACATTGTTCCCTCCTGAGACAAAAAAAAATAAAAATAGCAGTGAATGAGAGAGGAAAGTTCCAGCACACTCCAGAAATTTCTCTGAAGGAAATATTTTATAGAGCTTCTGAGTTTATCTGTCTCTCAGAAAAGATGACAAGGTTCACTCAGAAGTTACTGCAAGGCCACACAATGAACATTTTTCTACCTTCTTCCCACAGATTTTTATTAACATCATCTTCCCTGAAGTTATGGCTTTACTAATTAGCCACTTTCCCAAAAGAACAGCAGAATGTATCTGAACTTTGCAGGAAAAAAAAAAGTTTCATACTCTGATCTTGTTTAGTTTTGACATGAGATGTTATAAATTCTAACTGCTTCCACAAAGACTGAATGTCAGGGATACTTACATCTTTGTTTCAATACTCTACCAGAATGATAGTTGCATTCTTCTTTACGTCTATGTTCTCCTGAAGAAGTAACAGCATACACTTCACCACACCTACAGCACACTCTTTTGAAAGCTAAAACAAACAATAAACAGAGCATACTTCCTACCTGGCTTACAAGAAAATTTTAAAAAGATGGAGTTGAACTATAAAGAAAGTTACACAAGCAACAATTGCAAGAGTAGAATATGAATACATAAGCAGCATCCTCAGATTACCCATGTATAAAAAACCCCAAACCCACTTCTATAGCATAAGAAGTTTTACTTGACCTGATGCTTCTTCAACTAATGTGTTGCAACAAAAATTCAAACATACCTATGAAACGTCATGGTTTAGTTATGAAAGGCTGTGAATTCAGTTGTTGTCCAGGCAGTAAATACAGAACACTTCTGTAATGTATCATTTTATACCTATGTATTGTACTGTCCTGTGAACCACTGAAATGCAGTTTTATTACAGTCTAGTAGGCACTTACCATCATAATCAGCATTGTTTACAATCCTAGAAAGTATAGCACTACCATTTTTTTCAGGATCTGGTCGAGGGAAATTATTTTCATTCAATTGTTCCTCAGTCAGGAGATAATCTTTTAAATGCTCATATAGCGCATAACCTGTGAGTGCTAAAAAAAACCCCCAAAGATAAAAAGATAAGTAAATAAACACAAAGCTTAAGCATTATTAGAACAAATGTAAGCAGCACTTAAATATTCTAGTACTTCTTAAATAAAACAAAGCTGAAATTACAAGATGTGCACTATAGTTTACACTATAGTTTACATGAAAAGACTATATGCTTGTACCTCAGAGCAGTTAGACGTTATTAGAGGTGAAGCATTACTCAAAACAAAGACACTAAACAGCAGGGATGTTAATTACTCACTATCCCAGAAAGGCCAGACATGTGATATTAAAGAATATGTTCTTTTCAAACAAAAGTTCAGCTTTTTTGCCCTAAGAACGAGCCTTTGGATATGAAGTGGCCAATAGATAAGGCTTGACCAGAATTATCAATATTTTCTGAAATAAGCCCCCCATTTACAGGCTAAAGTGGAACTGACATCTCCCCTTCCCTTCCTTTACCTTGCTCTTCCTCTGATTTTACAGATCCAGAGTCACTGGAAGATCTGCAGTTACTAAGTTGCCCTGAATACAGGAAAACATATTTTTAGTATCTCTTCTCAGTTTTAGATTTCCTGTAATATTCTAAACAAATAGTTATAAATCAAAACAACAATTACTTTCAGTAACATATTTCCACAAAAGTATTTAAATATGCAGAAGTATCTTTAGCAGGGTTAAACTTAATCCTTTTAAGACATTTCTCTGCTGTTTTAATTTCTACACCTGCAATGCATTAAAAAAAAAAATAAACTCTACATTGTAAGTAAAATTACCATGATCTCTCAGCTTTTTGAGAGCTTGCACAGCAAAATTCAAGTACATTTTTTTATTTCCACAACGATCATAAACAGATTGCTCTGCTATCAGGGCCTATATTAAAAAAAAAAAAGAGAACAGGTGTTAGTGGAGTTTAGGTGTTAGTGGAGTACTCTTTGTTTTACCAAAAAAAACATTGCCATTTATAATCTGAGATTCTGAACCCAGAGGAAAACAGATGTTCCAAGTAGTGTCCTAAATATGAAGGGCAACAGGAGACACAAAGTCAGATGGATGAGACATGCAGAAACACAAATTCAGTCCTTATGAAGCAAAGATCTGCAGGGAAATTCAGTGCTTCAACTCAGAATTTAAATATAATTAATGAAGAAATTTGAACTCTTGGGATAACCATTCCTGTTACTGAAGACAGCCTTTTTTGATCCTGCTTCACAGGAGGAATCATTGCATTTTTAGGTTAAGAACTATTTTCTTCACTTTGTTTCTGTAAAGCTGTAAGAAATAAAAGAGAAAGGAAGGTCCAGCACCCTGTAACTATGAAGAATCACACCTGAAATAAGCTGTATGGTCATTAATCTTATAGGGGAAGAAAAATGCTTCTTCCCTCTTTTTATTTCACTTATTACACTATCTGCATAGTCAGCAAAAGAGTGGCTCATTTCAGGTGTAAATAGTGCCTTCTAACAATCACTACAGCAAGCACATTTCACAAGTTACCATCTCTAAACACAGGAATAGAGAAAGTGGGGAACTGATGAAGTTGAGAAATAATACAGCAGGAAGTTAAAAGTGAAGGTAAAATAATATTATCTAGCAAGAATAAAAAGTCAGGCATACCAAGGTATGCTGCGTAATACAGAGAATACACAGTGAATGGCAGAGTCGTAACATCTGATGTCTCACAAGAGATATTTGGGATATTTGTGCCTATCACCACATCTGTTGGCTACAAGCTTGGGCTGTAAACAGCAAATCCGAGATCAAAGCCTCAAAATGATTTGCTGTTCATGGAATCACAGAATGTCAGGGGTTGGAAGGGACCTCTAGAGATGATCTAGTCCAACCCCTCTGCCAGAGCAGGATCCCCTAGGGAGCCCCACAGCAACCCGTCCAGGTGGTTTTTGAATGCCTCCAGAGAAGGAGCCTCCACACCCTCCCTGGGCAGCCTGTGCCAGGGCTCTGTCACCCTCACAGGGAAGAAGTTTCTCCTCATGTTGAGGTGGAACTTCCTATGTTCTAGCTTACACCCATTCTTCCTTGTCCTACTACTGGGCACCACCAAAAAGAGACTGCTCCCTTCCTCTTGACACCCACTCCTCAGATATTTATATACATTAATAAGATCCTCTCTTGGCCTACTGTTTTTAAGACTAAACAGCCCCAGTCCTCTCAGTCTCTCTTCTTAGGAGGAATGTTCCAAGTCCCTCAATCATCCTCATAGCTCTCTGTTGGACTGTCTCCAGTAGGTCCCTGTCTCTCTTGAACTGGGGAGCCCAAAACTGGACACACTATTCCAGGTGTGGTCTCACCAGGGCAGAGCAGAGGGGGAGGAGAACCTCCCTAGACCTGCCGGACAGACTTTTCTTAATGCACTCCAGGATCCCGTTGGCCCTCTTGGGCACAAGGGCACGTTGCTGTCCCATGGACAACTCACTGCCCATTAGGATTCCAAGGGCTTTGTCCATGGGGCTGCTTTCCACCAGGGCAACTCCTAACCTGTGCTGGTGCCTGGTGTTATTCCTCCTCAGATCCAGGACTCTACACTTGTCGTTATTGAACTTCATGAGGTCCTTGAAACATGTTTTCCTCCCGTACTGAATAGATCTCACAGACATTCCAAGAAGTCTCCAATATTGACAAGAATATTTGTATTTTGCATTTGCAACACAAAAAATTTTACTCTTTAATACTAAAATAACATATCTTTTTGGAAGCTAATTAGCAGTGGTAACAACAAATGTTTTTACTTGGGAAAAAAAGTGAAACTCATGGATAACACCATCAAGTGTAAGACCGAGTACATTTTAACTTCTAGTTACTGAGAAGCCTGACAAATTTACCTCAAGAATAAAACACAAATCAAATTAAAATAACCCACTGAAACATTATTCAAGGAAAAACTTGACTTAATGCAGAAGAAGAATTGTAAAGATCCACAAAACATTACAAACCTTGTCAAAAGCCTCATTCATTGTACTACAAATTTTGATGCATTCTGCAAAAAAGAAACTTATATATCGCTGTCTTGTTTCAGGTGGTACCTTGGATGCTGGTGTTGGAAGGGAACGCTTTTTCTGAAAACAAGCAAAAAAAAAAGACAAAACACAAACCTCTAATGTCATCAATAAAGAACTAAAACCAATTCAGATATTCTTTTGCCCATGCTCGGGACAGGGGGGAAATAAATAATCAAATGTTGTTGAATAGCTATTCAACAATTTAAGTTATGCTCTCCATCTAACCTTTATATCAGGCAGTACTTCATTTAGAATGTCAGCTAAGGACCCAATGAGCTAGACTAAAAAAAAGTTTCCTTTTAGGAATCTACAGCCTTTGTTAGACCATGCAATGTAGTGGTTTTGCCTGTTGCAATATGCTTATTTTAAAATTAAGCACAGAATTTAAAAGTTATCACATTCTAAAACATGAGACTAACTTAGGTTAACCACGGTATCATCACATTCGAAAAGGTCCAAACAGTTAAAGATGCACTCTGTGTATCAGACAAGGAGAAATGTCTATACCACATTTATTCAGTATGACAGATTCCTTAAGAGCAGTATTCAAATGTGTGTGCTGCTAACCAGCAGGGGGCATTTTTACATACAGGAAACAAAGGTAATGTGTGTCAGTCACAATCTACTCTCACCATTATTGGGGCATGCAATATAATACATGGGAAACAAAAAGGTACATACTGAAGATATGTATGACGTGCAATGTTATATGTACTTTGTTTCCTAGAAAAATGTGTTTCTAGAAAAATTTGACATTTGTAATTAAAAAGCAAAATTCTGATCTTGCAATTTATCTGACTCCAAGAATCTTCAGCGATATCCGCCTTCACAACAAAAAAAGCAAATTTAGACTAATTTCTCTGACAAGAAAATCATATGATACTCTGCCTCTCAAAATTACAAAACAAAGCTGGCATTAACAAACCAAAATACACCTGCATTAACTTTGACAAGTTCCTTGAAAGTCCTTTAATTTAGGAAGGTACCTCTCAAAGCAAAATAAAACCTTTCATTAGGTATCATCTGCCACTATACATGGCAAAAAGTTTTAAGGGAAAACAACCAACATCTAAGCATGGCCTGACTGAAAACAAACTAGTACTTCATTCTCCCATCTCAGCCACTTTGAATAATAATTTATATATTTAACTGCTTACATTTGGGAGTGCTGGCTAGTACGACTTTAGGAAGATGAAAATACAATCTGCACAGTATCCTGATTAAAGCAGATAGGTAACAAAGGGCTTCTTTCAAATATCACATTACTGGGTCTATATTCTAACACCCTGTTTGAAGTAGACTGCAATTTTTCCACTTCTGTTCCCATTCCCATACCCAAGTTCTGCAGCAGCAACTCTACAGTACCTTGTATGACACAGGAATCGTCCTCATGAATGAGCTAAGAGAAGGTCCAGAGGGTATTGCTGCTACTACAACATCTCCTTCCAGTAGTGTCGACACTTGAGCACTGCTGATTTCAATGGGCTGAACTTCAAGCAGATTTACAGAGGCTGAAACACATAGAAGATACAGACTGAATCTAAATTCTACTTGTAAAATCTGTTATTTAAATTACATTAATCTGGAACACAGGTATTTCACAGCTGTTTTGTTAAAAGCAGGGTACCAGTAAACTAATACATGGAGGCAAAGCTGAAATGTCAGGAAATACATTAAGGCTTCACTTCTGCCAACAGATTTTGTAGAAAACGTTCAGCAGTATTTTTGAGACCATATTCATTTGAAGGTATTACGATAAAGCAGCCACACAAGTCAAGGTAAAAGTTATTCTGAAGTTGTAACGACTATGATTTTTAAACATCTACTTGCCTGCCTTTCCTGTCCCTTTCCTCTCCCCTGCAAAAAGGTATGATGGCAAGGAAAAAAAAATAAAATCAGGAAACCCATAATTTTAACTTGACCTTCCAATATAATCAGTAGGTGCCCTGAAGTATTGCTTTGCCCTTTTAAAGTCAGAAATGCTACAGATCTCTGAAATAAAAATCTGTCATGAGATTCTGGGACCATCCCTGCAGTCATTCTGGTTAACTTTATTTGCATCAGTATGTATGATATAGCAAGACACTTTCTACAGCATGAGATACACCAATCCCTTTTACTGTTATTCAGAAAGAATGCATACACTGGCAGAATGATTCAATTTGATACGAAGATGTTTTCTAGCACCTGTAATAAGAACACATGAATGAAACTAGGAAGACCCATTTTCTTAATGTAACTGTAGATAGGTTTCTTTGTAAAATTTAAAGTGACAGTAGAACAAGTGGAGCGGAAATACTGTTTAACTAGTATGAAATGTTGAGAACTTCTATTCCAGTTTTTTTCATATGTGGAGGATTTAAAAGAGAGAAGAACATACAATTTTCAAATAACAAGATTTAAATTGTTTCACAAAGTCTGAATGTTTCAGACTAGAAACTTAACAGCTGTATCAGTACTAAAAGGAAAGTCACCAGATTTCTTTTCTCAGTCTTTTAAATCATGTATCAAAAGACTTTCAACAGAACAAACATTTTTCAGTTCATAACTGTACACACTGGAAGAATTTTGAACAGAGCACTTGCCTGCATGTCCCCTTTCCTTAACAGCTGCCAAGACTTCAGGTATAACCTTGTAGTTTTACAGGGCATCTGTCTGCATAGGTGAAGTGCTCACCACCGCTCAACCCACAGCTAACATCCCACACAACAAAATGAACACATTCCAGCAATGCCTAGTGGAAGCAAAATGAAGTTCAGTTTGTCAAATCTAAAGATTGAGCTGTCATACCCAGGGGTCCAATGCTTTGAAAGGGAGTAGCTGACAACCCAGACATAGTCTTCTGTTCAGAGGCTGTATCCATAAGAGCTTGTCCCCCTCTAACTGCAGCAGCAGAGTCCATTGCCTGACAGTGTATCTGCTGAATTTCCACATCACAACCCCACTGCTGAGGACATACTGTGAAAAGCTCCACTTCACTTCTGTTGTGTACCTGATACATACATACAATAAACCAAAGTTAATATTCACACAGTTCCAAATCACAGCAAGATGCTGGCAAAGTTAACAAACTGATGCTTAAAATTGAATTTCGTTGTCAGATTCAGATCTCAATATGCTGTACACAGACAGAAAATGCCAAGCTGGAAGAGTTCAGGGATGGTGGAGGGGACTTAAAGAATTATGCCTCCTGTTAACATTGAAACCCAAAGTAGCTGTTTCTCTGCTTTTACAGTGCTTTAGGTGGCAAAGTGCTCACTCTGGGTTTCCAAGTGCTGTATCTGTTATCTCATGGTACTAGCCTTCACCTCAAACTGACTTTTCAATACCCATTAGCCTCAGCTGCCCTGTACAGCACCTTATTTCGCCTGCACGAGGAACCAACTTTAAGTACGACAATATTTGCTACAACTTTTAACAGAAGAGTTGATGAGACATTTGTTTAACAATTTATTCAACAAGTGCGTACAGATATTAAGTAACACTATGCAGACCTTCAATTTATTACAAGACTTTACTCACATCAAATTTTGCTCTGTGTGCAATTCTTCTCTTTTTTCCAGGAGCATTTAGTTTGGTTTCTAATGAATTGAACTCTACTTCTCCTCCATGGTCCTATTAAAAACAAGAGACTATTTAGACCAACTGTTAGGAAGCTATAAACTTGAGTAATATCCATCCACTCCAATGTTTCAGGATATTCAGTCAAAACACTCACTAGAAACAACTACAATTCCATCAGTATTAGAGAGTTATTTCACATTCAGAAGAGTTAAGCGACAGTGCTTTGAAGCCAAGGCAGTGGTACTCGAAGTTCCTGCATCCATTTATAAGAAGAACAGGAGACTGCTGAATACACAACTGCATCTAAAAACTTTGCTTATTACAGCAAAAGCAAAAATTTTAACCTGAAGGCAGAGAGCTATTCAGAGTAATTTTCTACTTTGGGAACTACATAGATCACCCATTGCCAAACTAGACTAGAGAATCATACATGTTCCTTATGACTTTGCCTAGCAGCTTTGAAGGCTCGAATATTTAACACGCATTTTGGAAAGAGTATTTGAACTTGACTACTTATCACATCCTGCCTTCATATGCTCAGAAAACAAACAAATTAAAAAACTCCAGACACTGAAAGGGAAAGAAAATACCTGCTTATCCCTGTTCTTCCTTCGTGCTTCTCCTTCGAACTCTTCAAAAATTTTCCTACACTCCTCTAAAGGATCATCTGAGTCAGAGACCTCTGTCTCCTCCCACCTGCATTCTGTTTCCTCAGCAGATGAACTCAGTAGACTTATTTCATGTTCTTTCTTGTTTAAGTATACAGATGGATATGAGTATTTTTCTTCTGGGTTATTATTAGCCCTGTTTTCTTCTATGCTCTGGTTTTCCTCTCTATTTATTATTCCCTTATAAGGTCTTTGAACTGTAGTTCCATCTTTTGATGAGTGACCAGTACCCAAGGCAGATGGTGTCACTCCTCTACTGGTCACACAGTCTTCACTAGTATGCTGCTGAACAGATGCTTCAACAAATACACTGTTTTCTGCATGCCCTTGCTTCAGAATTCCGTTCCATATGCCTGCCTCAAAAGAAGCAGTTGAAGATGTATGTTTCTCCTCACTATAAGCAAGGGCATCTTTGAGCTTCAAAACCTTCACTATATCATTGTTTACATCATTTGCTTTCAGAGAAACATTATGTAGTTTTTCAGACTTTTTAAAAACTTTGGTGTTCTTCCGCAAAACATTAATTTCTTCTGATTTTTCTTCTGTAGACCCAGGAATATCTGCCATAGCACTATCGCATAATATTTCTGCTACTTCTTTGTCCCAGCTCCTGTTTGTACAGTTACTACTTATTCTTGGCTTTTTATTAACAGCTTGTGGTGGCTCATCAATGTCAAGATCCCATCCAGCATCAGAGTCTTCAAGTTCCACTGCAGAAGGAATTCTTAACTTCTCTGGGAACACATGCTCACTCCTAAATGAAGACATCTTAGAATTCTCTCCCTGGTTTTCACAGGGAAATACCTTCCTTGGCTTACATTGCTCAACTTCATTTGTCACATAAGAAAGATAGATGCCTGCAAAATAATTTTGTAGAAGATTATATTTAAGAATGGTTGCTAGACAACTACAATCACAACATATTTCTGTAATTAAAAAACGACAGCTATTATTTGCATACGATGAAACTGAAACAACACAACAACATGTGCTAAAAAAGGCACTACAATGGATTCCTTAAGAGAAAGTATCTTGACATAGTTTTCAAGGACTAAAGTGTTTATAACCATTTAATAGGGAAGACTGTACTGCAGAGAGCTGTTTCTGTTCCTTAATTTCATTTTTGACTGAATCTACTGCTATTTTAATCGTTTGGGGCTTTGTATGCCATCTGCCTCTCTTTGACGAAAGACAGCTATGATTTGTCAAGGGTTAGGACTAGGTCAAGGAAGGGAAAAGGGAATAAGGAGGAGAGGCTTACAGACTGAAAATATAAAACAGCTTTAATGAAACAATAGTAGTACTAATAAGAAACTAAAGAAAATAATGAAAACTAATGAAACTAATGAAATACATATAAATAAAACCAATATCAAACCTAACATCCCTGACAGCAATCACGACTAATTCTGCAGGCAGGAAGGCACCATGGAATACCCAGATTGTACTCAGGAGCAGATGGAAACCAGATTAAGGAGCTGGATTCAGAAACTCAATGCAGAAACTTGCAGGTCAGAATCAAAGGCAGAAGAATGGACAGAGTTCTCACTCGAGCCATTGAAGATGAGATCTTAACCTCCGTGATCCCTCAACTTTATACTGAATGTAACACATATGGGATGGAATACTCTTGTTGGTCACCTGGCCTGTCTGTTCCTCACTGGAGGTGCCACCTTTTATTATTTTCCTGCAATCCCGTTACTTCCTGGCACTCCCAGCCTAGTACACAAGAGCCAGCAGTGGCCTTGGTCACTGTAGGAGTTAAGTATCAGCAAGAGCCTTTCTGCATCCCAGTCCCAGGCAGTAACTGTAAACATCAGGTGTTATCACTGCCAGTAGCAAAACATGCTGTTAGCTGCATAAACATGCTGCAAAAACATGCTGTTAGCTGCATAAAGTAGAGTCTCTTAAAGTAGACTAAGTTGAAAAGTAAAATAAATAAATAACAACTTTTTTAAAAAACACTGAATAGTAGTGATTCTGGTTTAGCTCAAACTAAAGTTTAGCTTATCAAAACTCAGCCTGACACCTTCTCAAAGCACTATCTCCATCCTCAGAAGGATATTCTGGCAAAGCACAAAACATAATAGTTATTTGCCTTCCAGAATTTCAGTAATTGTACACAGACCCTGTCATCCAAGAGATCTGTTATCATCAATTGTGTATTTTAACATCACTATACACTGTCACTTAAAACCCATTACCATTTGATTTCACAAGTGCTTGTATCAGCAATTACAAAACATTTCAGAGAAGTATTAGAGAGTCAAATATTGTTAGTGAAAGGGTTCCTTTTCACGTTACTCAAAAATAAGTAGTTTTGGCATTAACGTAATAACTATGAATTAAAACAGGCTGGTACCACAAAGTCTCTTGTCACCTTGGTGTGGGTTAACCCTGCTGGGCTCTCACTTCCCCAGTCAGATAGGACACAGGATCAGAGGGTAAACCCAAGAAAACTCATGGGTTTACATAAAAAGAGTTTAACATGTAAAGCAAAGCTTTACACACAAAGCAAAACAACAAGCAAAATACAACAAGGAGCTAATACACTACTTCCCATGGGCAGGCAGATGTTTAGCCACTTGCAGGAAAAGACGGCTTCATTTTGCCTATTATTTCAGATGTCTCTCCTTCTTTCTCTTTTACTGTTAAGTACAAATAATTTGGTCTGGAGTATCCCTTTGGTCAGATGGGGTCAGCTGTGTCTCTTCCCAACTCCCTGACCAGCCTCAGTTCTCTCACTGTCGGGGCAGCATGAAAAACTGAGAAGCCCTTGAGGCTGTGCGAACACTCTACGGCAATAACCAAGACATGGCTGTGTTATCACTACTGTTCGTCAGAAATATAAAACTTCACACAGAGCTACAAAGAAAACCTACTCCATTTCAGCCAAAACCAGTACAGCTCCGTGCCTCAGAAATACTCTGAACCACCATGAGGTGGTGTTTTTATCAGAAATACAAATAACCTGAAAGAAGTAATATTTTCTAGCTTTTATACTACTGAGATACCATTCAGACTACACTGCTATATACATTACAGGATTATTCTTTGACTAACCAGAGCCTGAACAAACCTTCAGGTTTCAAGCTTGCTAAAAATTGCACAAAGGCATTTAATGGTAGATGTTCATCACTTGACAGAAAACACCCATGGACTCAGTTTTCGACAAGTCACATCACACCTCACAGCTACCTCCAAAATCATCAAGTCAAAGTCAAAAAGGGAACGCCTCCAAGCTGGTTCTTTTTTCTAGTGTTGTTTTGGGTTTTGTGTGCCCTGACTGCCACAGAACTTAACCACCATCACGTTATCTGGATAATTTTTCCAGGCTGCAGTTCCTTGTGCTGAAGTGAAGAAATGTCTTAGAAAGAAATAAAGCATTACCATTTACAGGTAAGTGTGAAAAGATAGGTACTTATTGCGGAAATGAAAGCTCCTGACGCAGAAAGAAACACGACAGGCAGAGCAGGAAGATGCAGCGAGACTCAAGTTTTGGCACTCGAGCTGGGAAGACAGAGTATCAGCAGCCCCTGCTTAGAAAACACGGACATGACAGGGTAAGAGACACTTGGATGGTTCCCTGGATTACGTACTTATCAAGGAACTCTTAAGCTATCAACTCTTATTACAAAATAAATTTCAGTTTAATCCACTTTAAAATAGCAACCCACAGCAAACGATGTGGAAGAGAGGAATCCAAGCTCCAGGCAACCAGAAAGCAGCTACTTGTTTTTAGTTGTAAGCTTTTTTAAGTCCAGCTAGGAAGCAGGCAGCTTTTTCCATTGCCGAGGGCTGTCTGTATTCCTAAATGCAGCGGCTCCCATTTTAAAGTAATTTCTACACTCTGCACCTTGCCTCCCTCACCCGTTTTACCGCCAGAAGTCTGAACACACCACCCTTGCTGCTGCCTGACAACACTCAGCTGTAAGGGGAACACGACAAACCCTGAAAAAGCTGCCGCGCC